AGTGTATTGTTAGAGGAGTGAGTAAGAACTCTGGTGCACCCGTTTCGGAGTTTATTTGCAAAATTTATTAATTTATAAGTATAAATAAGACAAAAAAAAATCATTTTGTATTAGTGTACACAGGCAACTTTGCCACATATGATCCACATATGTGTATCATATGTGAATCATATGATTGGTTTCATATGAGAATCATAAAAAAAGGGCATAATATGTGAATCGTATGAAGCAAATCATATGAGTCATATATGATTCACATATGTGAATCATATGAAAAGAATTTCATATGATTTGCACATGAAAAGTTTTAGTGTGTTTCAAGTCATTTACATATGAGAATCATATGAAATGGGCATCATATGTATATCATATGAAACATTTATGTGGTTTTTTTTTCATATTTATCAAAAGGAAATACACACTTGTACACATTGAAAATCAGGTATTTCTGCTTTAGATGAAATTTCAGTACATTCCAATGATCTATTAAATACCTGTAAATATTTGATAATGCTTGCACAATTTTCCAAAAGTATCTTCATCAACAGAAATAACTGATATCACACAGTGCACACTTTAAACAAGAAAGTATACAAACAGGTCAGTAGCATTTGTCGATACATGTATTTTACATATTCTAAAACGAGTACAAATTATTTGAAAGGATTTCAGCAAAATGATCAAGGAGATGAACATGTATACATGTACCCATGAATAACATAATTAGATCATGAACTTGTATAAAAATACTATATGACATGGAAGTGTCCTTAGCAAAATTGAAATATCTGCAACAACATTTGTCAATATATGTAATCTCTATTGTAAATTTATGACAAATCATAAGTAATTCAGATTACATGTACCTACAGCATATTTAACACATAAATGAGTATGAAATCACAAAGGATGATGTCTCGATTGAACAAAGATACATATATATATATATATATATATAGTTTTTCATAAAAATGTTTATGTATTTATGCATAAAGCATGAAATATAAAATGTGAATACATTAGAATGAGATTTTACAATCAAAATGATATTCCAGTATACAAATAAATAGAAAGCCTTGCATGTCAAAGTCTGACAAAATTAAGTACATCCTTCTCATTCATATTTATTCCAGATATTTCCTAATTCTTTTCTTTCTCTGTCAACTTTTCCCATTTGTTCTCCCTCTGATCTTCCATCATCATATTGAAAATTCTTTGAACTGTACCCAAAATGCAAATCCACCAATGTCCCCTATCTGAACAATTTGTTTGTGGCACAGAATAATCTCTAAAAATTATTTTTAAAATAATTAGCATTAATAATAATAACAAGAGGTCCATGGACCACATTGTTCACCTGAGCAAACAATGGCAAACTCACTTAACTCTGACACAAGTGGCTTTTGTGAAATGTGTGTCAATACAAAAAAAGTGCTGGAATAAATTGCAAAAGTATTTTTTTGATATTTGTTCCATACTGATCAAATTAACTCAAGATTCCTTCCTTAGGCCCCACTACTGTAGCAATGTAGAAATTGTTAAAAAGACTTAATTTTTTGCTATACACAAGTATAAATTACTATGTAAAACTTTGCAACCCTTCAGGGGCCCCACTGGTGGTTTAGTGGTCATTGTTTCAACAAACTTGAAACAACACTGCATAGGGATGTTTGCAAAATAATATCACAAATTGTAGTGTGGTAGTTCTTGAAAAGCAGATTTTTAAAGACTTTACTCTATATAATCTGTAGATTGAACTTTGAACCCCTACTGGTACCTTACTATTGGTCCTCTTTGCCAAGTTCAGTTGAAATTAGTCCAGTGGTTCTGGAGAAGAAGACATAAATGTGAAAAGTTTATGCCAACAACGATGATAATGGACAATTTTGATCAGAAAACTTCACGTGAGCCTTTGGCTCAGATGAGCTAAAAACAAGTACTTTCATTTAAAATGAAAATACTTGTTTTTATCTCATCTGAGCTGAAGGCTCAAGTGATTCTAAAGATGAATATGATTGGAAAAATTGTTTGTGACATCCAACAAACATGAACTAATTTTCTATCATTGATCATATTTACTAGCAAAGATGTCCTTCCAATAAACAAATATATATCTCAAAATTTTAACATTAATATGGCACGCCAAATTCACAAAAATTAGATAAACATAGTTAAACAGTTGATAAACTAGGTTTATCGATCGTAAACTATAGTTTACAAACTGTAAACTATAGTTAACGATTCGTTAACTGTAGTTTGCATTTGTAAAATTATATTTAACGGTTGTATAGTGTAGTTTACGAATGTTAATCTATGTTTATATGTCTGTAAATAAACGTTGCCGTTAACAATAGATTTTGCTGATAAATATAGATTCTCATATGTAAACTATAATTTGCATTCGTTAACCATAGTTAAGAGTTGTTAATCAAAGTTTTACAAATCGTGAAACTATATTTATCAGATAAAATATGTTTTACATTCGTTAACTATAGTTTTCGGTCGTAAACTATAGTTAACTGTCACTTATACTCACAAACTATATTTAACAGAGGTAAACTATACTTATCGATCGTAAACTATAGTTTTGAGAGCTAAACTATGATTCACATTTGTCAATCATAGTTTATCGTCATTAACTATAATTCACACTCGTAAACTATAGTTAAGAGTTGTTAAATATAGTTTATGAATCTAAACACCTGTTAACGATAGCTTTTAATTCAAAATTCCGCGGCACAAATCGCGAGAAGGAATAATGGACACATGTTGACTATTATCTAAAGCAAAGACCGAGTTATATATAATCAATATTACTTCCTCTATTTAAACAGGATTAATTGCATTTGTTTTAAAATGTCGTGTATATATACATTTCCTATGAGAAATTTTTAAAAATATGATAAAATTCTAATTTCTTAAAAGACAGAATATTACGAAATTTTTGCTCAAGCAGAGGAGGGTGAAGCGCGTTTTACAATGTGCCAAGCATTTTCCCGCAACATCTCATCACCAAAACAAAGAAACAGAAAGAGAGGAAATCTAGTGGCGGATATAGATAGGGTTGTGGGGGTTTCAACGTCCTCCTTTGAATTTAAGAGAGAGAGAGAAGTCCCAAATATTTGCTGTGTTTTACTAAAGTAAATGTTCAGTAAAAGGCCACTTTTATTTATGTAAATTCGGTTGTTGAAAAATAAATTCCGCGCCTGTAATGTTACATGTGCACTGTGTTATGTCTATATTTACAGATTAATATAAGATATACATGCATTTTATTAATAACAGATCACGTATTTCAATTTGTTGCCTCATAAGAGGAACAATTGGCCGATTTGCGGCCGATTTTTGACGCTTGCGTCAATATGTTTCTTGTTCATTAATTATTGTTTGATCAGCACAGAAGGTTGGAAAGACGGCAAGGATAGATATCAGCGATTTCTTCCGTTGCTGAAGACAAGTTTGGTTACAGACCGTTAACATTTCTCTCTATTTTTCTCTTTCGAATTAAAAAAAAAATAAAATTTTAATCAATAATTTACTTTTCAAGGTGCTTGGACACAGATTTGAAGTTAATATTTACTCAAATTTTCTGTATAATTTCATAACTTATATGCCGCTATAGCATTTCATACGAAAATTTGATAAAAATCGTATTTTATCTGGAAGTTATTGAAACTTTGAATTTCTGGACGCGTATGATAGACACATCCTTGCACTTTCACAAATTTTAACTTTATCCTTATTACTGTGGAAAAGTAGCAATTTTGTTGTTTATTAAGGAAAAACATTAAAGCTGTAATGCAGAAATTTCGAAGTAGAAATGTAGAAAGCAAAATCCTCTCACCAGTATATTGTAAGTCATTGCTCAGTGGTGTGTGCAGAGTTTAACAATTGAACACACCCGGTGAAACGTAAACATTAACAACAGAGCTCGTGCCCTGTTTACAAAAACAGTTTACGTTTCACGGGTGTATTCAATTTGTTAAACTCTGTACACAACTACACAACACTGATCACGGGCTGACAATACTAAGTGAGTGGGGTTTGCTTTCGCACATTTTTACTCTGAATTTTCTGAATTATAGATGTAATATTATTCATTAATACACAACAAAATTGCTACTTTTTTTTAAGTATTAAGGATAAAGTTAGAAATTGTGAAAATGCAAGGATGTGTTAATCAAACGCCTCCTGAAATTCGTAGTTTCAATAATTTCCAGATTAAATAAGTTTTTAATTTTATTTTCGTGTGAAATGCTATAGCAACATATAAGATGTGATATTATACAGAAAATTTGAGAAAATATAAACTTCAAATCTGTGTCTATGCACCTTTAATGCCAACAAGAAAATATACATGCATATACATTTAACAACAATTGTCGTTACATAGCAAAATCTTATAATGCAGTAACTAGGCTTAGCCGATATATAATTTACAAAAAAACTATTGTTAACTATAGTTTTGATCGTAAACTATGGTTTAGAGTCGTGAAATCTAGTTTCACAGAAAATTGTGCATCTCCCATACAAAATAAGAGATTCTGTTCCTAAACTGTGTTTCTCAAATGTAAAAATATGTTTATCGCATTTTTGTGAATTTGGCGCTTTGTATGTCTTTAAAGTATACTTTACAAACCCTGAACTATAATTTACATTTGTTAAGTATAGTTTAGAGTTGTAAATCATAGTTTACAAACCGTGAAACTATATTTATCAGATAAACTATATTTTGCAGTAGCAAATGATTGTTTTCCGTGTTAATTATAGTTTACGCTTGTGAAACATAGATTATCGTGTAAACTATAGTTTACAGATGTGAAATATAGATTATCATCGTTAACTGTAGTTTACGGTCCGTAAACTAGAGTTTACAGTCGATAAACCTAGTTTATCAACTGTGAAACTATGATTAGCTCATTTTTGTGAATTTGGCGTGCCATACATTAAAGTTTAACTTCAATATTTTTACAATTTAAAATATTGACTCTTACTGTTTTCATACTAGCATCATACTAGCATCAGTGTGAAGTATTCCCTCTCTGGATTTGTTAGCATAATTGTAGGAGGAAGGAAACATTTTCATCGATAATTATGTAGAGACTTAATGGAGGGACCCTCTACATCAACTTCTTTGTTACCCATCAGCTAAAACATTTTTTTCTAAACAATTCAATTCACAATGTATAGCTTAAATGGAATGCAGTGCAAAATTTTGTTTTGACAAGGTAATTCAATTTAGCAATAGACTTTGATACTTCTTAGGATGATATGTAACATATATAAATAAAATGTGTGCACACCTTTGCTCTGATCTGATTTCTGTAATATGTGAATTCAGTGGATCCAAAGCTAGACATAACTCCCATAACATTTCATGTCCAGCCAGCCTTCTATGCCAGATTGCTGAGCATCTCCTGAATGAATAAAGCAATGCATTTTTCACTTATTTTTCTATACATCAAACACATACTAAGATTCTTCAAGAAAAAATGCTTCACTATTATACATATTGACTATAAACTTTATTAGTTTCATATAACATGACATACATGCTCAGTGCATCTACTTAAATGCTCAGTGCATCTACTTAAATGCACAATTCTTGCAAAATACATGTAGTTAGCTAGCATTTGTATTCATCATACCTGTACTTCTGTATCCTTAAAAGAAATCCAGGGGTTGATGTTAAATCTTTTTTTAAGCCAATTGACATTCTCTCTGCAAATTTTTAATCTATATAAAAAAAATAATACATATAATATATATAATCCATTTCTGCTTGATGCAGACCCCCAAATCATTAACCAAAGTACATGAAAATGTATACAATGTACTTTCAATGCACATGTAATAGTACCTTGAATGTCTGATTAAGCTAAAAGTCATTATCCCCCAGAAGATAATGTATAGTTTTATAGTTCTTCATAGTTTTTATAGCCAGCAAGTTCTATAATATATGACTTACATATTTTCATATGTTTTCATACTTATACATGTATATATATTTTATTAGTGTGCTGGATTTGTTCTATAGAAAAAGAGTTGGATTTATTTAGTTTTTGATATATGTTTAAGTCATTACTTATATATACTGTGATGATAAATGTATTTATTTATTTATTTTTACCTGCATTGTGATCATGCATCGTCTGCCAAACCAGCTTTGTGTTCAATCGTCAGTCTAATCAGCTTTGGGGTTCTTTGAACAAAAAAAAATAAAAAATACAAAAACAGCACTGTGACACTGAACTCAGTTCCTAAATACATTATTTAAAACACGTTTCTCATTCATTTGATGAAAGAACCGAATGAATAACGATCTCAACAAACATTTTACGTTAACTGCTTTACAAAGTTTCTACTTTCACTTTCATATCGAATATAAATATCAAGCGTAGCTATTAACAAAAGGGAAATAAATCTGAAAAATAAGTGATGCTAAATGGCCTAAACATTCGTCGTTAACTAACAAAATTACCGTACTCATTCAATAAGTAATTTATTGATCACTAGGTTTATCGGCTTTTTACGAACTGCATTAATTTAACAATTATATACAAGTGATGAGAGTACTAGAAAGTTTATACGGATCTGTTACCGTAATGAAATGATCTAAACACAATGAACTGGCCTTTAAAAAGTCTTTTAAAACGTATCCGAAATCACTTACTTTTTTCAACACCCAACTCTTCTGCTGCAGAAGTGACGTCAAACATGACGTACACTTTCATCTGATAAAAACCGAAACCGGTCCGTAAATAAAATGTGGAATGATTTTAATTTTACTCATAAAATAAAACCAACCATAACGGTTTTTGGATAAAATACAAATCAATTTATTCTTGATGAATTTTGTTTTTCAAGAAAACAAATTTTGAATTTTATGAAAGGATTTTTTTTGGGGGGGGGGGGGGGTTAACAGAGTACTTATTCCCTTTTTATCCAAGCTTCTTAAGGAAATGAACATCTTGATTCTTTTAAATAAATATACATTTAAATTTACACATCTTGATATATGTTATTGAAATTATTTTTTAATCATGCAGTCTACTTGTTAAAATATAACACCAACTTATTCATATTAAGCTTAATATGAAATTACTCAAGTGTTAACTGATTAACAGTGAATAAACGTATTTTTTTTATCTCATTGAATTAAAATAAAAATGAATTTTACCTGCTTATACAGTCCCTGAAACGTTCTACTTTCCCACTTGAACGGTGAGCGAACGGTGAACGAACGGTGAACGAACGCAGAGCGAACGGTGAGTGAACGATGTGTGAACGCTGAACGCAACTTGGTGAACGATGTGTGAACGCTGAACGGTGAGCGAACGCAGAACGCGAACGGAGCGCAAACGCGAGCGCAAAGTGAACGGTGAACGAACGGTGAACGCAAGATGAACGATTTATTCGAAATGCCTCTGATCTTTTCCTTGCATTGAAACTATTCTATTGTATTCTAATGCCTGGTGCTAAAAAATAAATAATAAATAAACAAATCAGTGAAAATTGTCCTAAGAAAGACGATACATGCACATTAAGTAAAATTATTAATTTAAGTTTCATACAATATTTTCTGCACATATGTACGATGTTTAAATTCAACTTTTTGATAATACGATTTTTATCGCTGTAAAACATTGTAATTGTTACCAAACGCTGTGTTATAACAGATGAAATTAATCTAGTTGTAAAATAAATATGTTTATTCTTATTTTATATATAAAACCATTACAAATAATGTGGATTTTAGAAGAGAAAACTACGGAAGAGAAAACTACGGAAAAACTACGGACTTATAGAATGAATTACAATGGTTGTAACAACCATATAAAGCGATTCCGTGTAAAATAATAAGAATTTTTTTTTTACAAAGGTATGTGGACGTATTGCATAAATACACTCGTATTTTAAAATTTTAATGCAATAATATATTTATGTGTCAGTTTTATGATGATTTATTAAGCAGACTTCTACATGTATCTGTAGACATTTCCCGGCCGTGATTATACTCGGACAAGATGATACAAAGAGGCAATCATATTATTTGTTATATATTAAATTTTCACAACTTGATATTTAAGTAATATGCTGTCATAGTTTTTATTAAACAGACAAATGAGAGAGAGAGAGAGAGAGAGAGATTCGGTTTTAGCCCCCCCTTTCCTCAAATGTTTGTACCTATATCAAACAAAAATTCTAAATTTTTTTCTAAACATATCAAGCAGTGAAAGTAACCATTTTTTAAATCAACAAATCGATTTGTTTTACAGTCATAATAGGTTTTTATTTTCCTACTTCAAGTTCACACGAAGTCCACGTGCATGACCTGTCAATCAAAATCATTCGACACTGTGCAGGTGTGAAAGTCTCGTCACACCGAAGGCAAAGTGTTAGTATTTCCAAGAAGTTTTAACATTTTTCCTTATCATTTTTAGATCTGATTCCAACATTTCTAAAAATAAATAAATAAATAAATAAATGAAATACATTGGGAATAAATACTTGGAATAATTAAGCCGTTTGAATTTGAAACATACTCCCTGCCAATTTAAAATATCACCGCCGGCACATGTATATTTTGAACTACTATTGTTTAATGACTTTGTTTAGATGCATGTTTGTTTGCTACAAAACACATTAACTTCTTTTTAAAAGTTAATTAAAATATACTGGAAATACTAACTAAGTAACCGATTTAGGGGAAAGGGGGGGGGGGTGGGAGGGGCTCTTAATAATATCGAATGAAAAACATTTAAAGTTACGATGAAAAATATCATTACTGAAGAATCACTTTGGTTATATAAATGATAATCATGTTATGAAGGCATTTCTCTCTCTCTAATTAAAGACTTTATATATGTAAAGTTGAAAAAAAAATCTTTAATGTATTGCATTTTAAACAAATATTTTTTTAAACCACACTATCAATTTAATTCGCTCTAAAGATAATTAAGTAACTGGATATCCGCAGCACTGTTTATCATTCTCAGAAAAAGTTCTAACATGTATTTCTGTATTATTTTTTTTAAAAATGTGATAGAAATAAATATTTTCGTATTTTTGCTGCAGTTGGTAAATTATTTGACTTCGATTATTTTCTATCTATTAACGATTTGTCGTCCTTAACATAACAACAAAATGTTGCAGTGCTTGAAGTATCAGTATTTTGCCCGTATTTAAATTTAATTTTTCAGCATCGTTCTACATAGGTACATGTATGTACTTATAACAACATTTATTTTCCAGATAAATTTTATAAATAACCTAACAGCTAAATTAGAATAATAAAAATTAATTTTGTAGATAATTTTTTCCCCATGAAATAATTATTCTTTAAACACGGTATTTATTTATTAAATTCAAAACCTGTAAATCCTTACTTAAAAAAAGATAAGTCCTTTCACTTCGGAGTTCCGAATGACACTGAAGACTGAACGATAAGTGAACGCTGAACGCAAGGTGAACGCAAAGTGAACGAACGAAGAGCGAACGGTGAACGCTTTGTGAACGGTGAACGCGAGCGCACGGTGAACGCTGAACGCAAAACTGTGAACGGAGAGCGAACGGTGAACGCACGGTGAACGAACGGTGAGCGAACGGAAAAATGGGAAAGTAGAACGTTTCAGGGACTGTAACAAGGACAAATAAATATACACACACAGATCTGTTTCATATGATTCTCATATGATAATTCTCAAAGTATGCATATGATTCTCATATGCAGGAACTTTCATATGTGTATCATATGTATATTGCTTCATATGATTCACATATGCGTATTCATATGATCCACATATGATTCGCCACATATGATACTCATATGATTGTATATACATATGATTCTCATATGATCCTCATATGATTCTCATATGAAAGGCAATGCATATGTGGATCATATGTGGCGAAATTGCCTATGTATAGAAGGTCCTTAACAATTTAAAAAAGGCTATTTCCTTGACGAATTTCACACATAAAGAAGAGGCCCTTGGGCCTTTGAAATCACCTGAGCATAATGTATTGTATTGCTAGATTGTTTTGTTTTAACAACCCTTTCGAGAATTTTTCACTCATATTGAGACGTCACCAGTTGCCGGTGGAGGGCTGCAAATTTAGACCTATACTATGCACTCGGGCAAGCTGTAAGCAGTGAGGGATCTTTTTCTTGCCAGCACCTACTGCAACACTGGACCTCAGTTATAAGGGTCTCATCCGAAGGACCGGTCTTCACGTCCCACAGTGGGAATCGAACCCGCGACGTAAGGATCATCTCCTTACGCCGCGATTCTACAGCAAACGCTCTTACCACTGCGCCATGCGGGCGACTACACCCTTGTAAATGATCCAGATATGTATTAAAACTGGAGATACTGTGAGCGAGCTCAATAAATAATTCCCCCGCTGCAATTTATTTAAAGTTCCTATTCAAATTTTGTAAATGTGACCTTGAACTTGTCAAAAAGACTTGGGTTAAAAAATATGACATATCCTCCTGTCATAAGTAATCGTTTACTAAAATGTGGACATCCAATACTTTTCCATTAGAAAATTATAAACCTAGCTGTCATGAATTTTAACCATTTTATACCACGCAGCACTGTTTAGGCGTACTGTGAGAAATCAACTGAGTATAGACAAGGATAAATAGACACCTTTTTAAACTGAATATTTTTTGTTAAGCTATTATTTTATCACATGACTTTTATATTAATTGAAACAACATAGTATACCTTACTCTTCATTGAATCTACAGTGACGTTCCAAAATTGATGCAACTTTTCCTTGATGTCATTGTTTCTAGACAAACTGTCTTGCCTTTTCAAAACACCAGAACCAAAAACTATTAAAGACACTTACTTGATATTTTCAGTATTTACTGATGTGACCTCTAGCGGAAATTACAGCAAGTAATCTCCTTGGAATTGTCTGATATAAGTTTCTGATATATGGGACAGTTAGAGAGGACCAAATATTCAAAACTTCAGAGATCAAATCATCTTTGGATTTAATTGCTGGCAGTGATTTTCTCAGTCGAAATTTTAAAATTAGCCATACATTTTCGATGATGTTGAGGTCAGGTGATTGTGATTGCCAGTCAAGACAATCTAAATCATTCTCAAGTTTCCAAGCTGTAGTCAACTGTGAGGCATGACAGGGGGCATTGTCATCCTGGAATAAAAATTATGAATTTCCAT